GTGCCACACACACAGAGAGAGAGAGAGAGAGAGAGAGAGAGAGAGAGAGAGAGAGAGAGAGAGAGAGAGAGAGAGAGAGAGAGGAATGAAGGGAGGAGGTCAGGTGGAGATCGGGTGGAGGAAGGAAGGAGGAAGGAAGGGGAAGAAGGAGATCGGTGGAGGGAGAAGGTCTGGCGGAGTTGTGGAAGTGCTTGAGTCGGGAGTACCTTGGGCGGCAGAGGACATGGATGGTGGCGGGAAGAAAGAGGGGGAGGAGGTTGTGGAGGAGGAAAAGTGGTAGGGACATACTGTATGTCTCTTTCTCTCCCTCTCCCTCTCGCTCTCTCCCCTTTTTGCGCACATGCACCCTTCTTGAGATCTTGAAAAGAAATGCAGCGTTGACGTCCACCAGAAATTGTTTTTTGAAATGCGCTTCCTACATTGGGCGTTTCCAAAGAAGGGAGCGTGGTCGGATGAAGGAGGGAGGCAGGAGGTCGGGGAAGGAAGGGGAAGGACTGGGAAAGAGGGGATGGCGGAGGGAGGAGAGCAGGCGGTAGTTGACATCGGCCGGAGGAAGGGGAGAGAGCAGATGGGGGGGAGGAGGTCAGGTGGAGATTGGGCGAAGAAAGGAATGGGAGTGAGGTCGTCCGGCAGAGCGAAGCCCAGGGAGGTCGAAGGAGGTCGCAGAGGAGGTCGAGGTCGGGAAAAGGCCGGGAGGAAGGGGGAAGGGGAGAGAGCACTGGCGCGTCTTCCCCAGACACAACGCACCCTGATACCTGTCTCTTATACACATCTAGATGTGTATAAGAGACAGGTTCCACTCTCTCTCTCTCTTTCTCTCTCCCCCCTACGCGACCTACCGTGCGACGTGCAATTTGCTAGATGTTACGTGCCTCGTGCATTGGTGCTGGCGTCGTGACTAGGGACTCTCTCTCTCTCTTTCCCCCTCTTTTTGTACGTGCCACGTGCTTGTTGCTTCATGAAATTCGTGTGACGTGCGTTCGTGAACTTGGTGCTTTGTGCATTTGTGCTTACATTAAACGTGCGAAATGTGCTACTTCCTACGTGCGTCGATGCTGGCAACATACAGTAAATCCGAGCTACGTTACGTTACGTTACGTTACGTTAGGTAGCGTGGTGCTACGTGAATTGTCCCACGTGCAACGTGGAGTTCTACGTGGCTTGCTGCAACGTGACCTTTTCGGGCAATTCCTATTTTTGTGGAACTCAGACGGCTGGTGCAAATTGTGGCCGAAGGCTTGCGAGTTGTTGATTGATCGTTGTCGGCTGGAGGTTTCGGTGGCATGGCTGACTCAAGTGAGTCTCGATTCTCTGACTTCCTCCCTCTCTCCAACCTCTGTCCTTCTTTCGTCTGCCAGATCTACGCCTGATCTCTGCCTTAGCTCGTTCTCTCTCTTCCCTCTCTCCGCCCTCCCTACTCCCTCCCTTCACTTCCTTCCTCCGCTTGACCTGGGCCTTACGTCCTCCCTACCTCCTCCCCTGGCGCTCCCTGCCTCCTTCCTTTCTCAGCCATTCCTCCTCTCTCGGCCCTCACTTCTCCTTCCTCCATCCCGTTGCCCTTCTTCCTGGACCCTTCCTCCTTCCTTCCATAGCCCTTTGCTCTTCCTCAGTTCCTCTCTCCTTTCTCCCCTCGTGACGCCCGATCCAGAGGTGCAATTGTGTTTCTTTTTCTCCCACTGGATGTAAATGCCGCATCTCTGATCGGATCCGTGCGCGCTCGCTCGCTTGCTCGCCCGATCCCCTCCCCCACACACACCACAGAGGGAGACACACACACACACACACACAGAGACGGAGAGAGAGAGAGAGAGAGAGAGAGAGAGAGAGAGAGAGANCCGAACTGATTCTCACACACACATGCACGTGAACACTCACACACACATGCACGTGAACACTCACACACACAGGATCAAAACTCAGCAAGTAAGCATGTGGAATCCATCCAAGATCGGTTGATCACAAACATGTTCAGAAACGACTGCGAACAAACTCAGAAATGGAATCTTGAGCAAACAGATTAAGGGGACAGCGGTTTCTCCGAAAAGTCCAGAGTTCTCAGACTGCAACTGTGCGGGTCGTTTCACAGAACAGGAAACAAGAAATGATGCCGAGAAGTTTAATTCTCAAAGAGAACGCTTGCAGTAAAAGAAAGAAGAAAGGTTTTCCGGTATTCCCTCCTGTTTCCTTGCAAGCGAAGTTATAGCAGGTCATCTAGCAATCAGATTAACTTAAACCCAAATGCTTCTAAATCACCGGGCTGGGAATCCTCCCTGACTTTCGGCCCACAGCCTATCTGAGCTACTTTATTTGGGCTTAGTAGCAGGTTACTCTGTCTCCAAAGTGGCGTGGGTGAGGGGTCTAATTCTTCGTTTCCAGTACCTTAAGCCTAAAACGCCTTTCTTTTTCAAACAGTTGACCATTGCTGGTTTTGTTAACCGACCTACATATCCCCCATCTATCAGTTCCAGTATTCACATGCTATGGAGGTCTCTAATCTGAATTCTGTCCATACCCCTTGCTCACGCTGGTGGAGCTGTGCTGGCTGTTCTTTACATCCTTAGTTTCTGCATTACTTGCCCATGACGTTTCGATATGCGTTCAGACTGCCACTGCTCCTTTATACATCGCTACATCCTTGAACACCTCCCTCCTCCACCTAACCATTAATCATCTTTGGCTACTTCTCACAGCCTCTCGGCATTCCTCTTCCGTGTATTCCAGCTCAGTGTTCAAATCCTGTCCACCTTCTGCGCAAACATCTTGAGTACCCACTTCTCTCATATCAAAACCTGCGCAAATTCACGCAGGCGGAGCTGCGCTGGTCTGTCATGTATATGTATACAGGGTTGCATACCCGGACGGTTGGCGCCCTTGACTGGTCGGCTGCCGACCAGCCGGCTGGTCGGCTGGTCGGCACTGCGCAATTTGTTTTTTTTACTGGGACTCTGGGAGTCCATAACCCCCAATAACCCCACCAAACCCCCCATACCTGCCCCCAACAACCCCACTCACCCCCCCAACACCCCCAAACTGCCCTACAACACCCTGAGGTGGGCACCAATCACTGCCCTCAAGGTACCTGTTACGAAAATCAAAGCAGACTATCACTCACCCACACCAGATGGTAAACCCTACGGACTGTTGGTTCACACGCCATCAGCAAAACACCCACGAAACAAAGAAAGGTCTGTCACAGCCAAAAAATACACTCAAAACGCGCCGCTGGCTTATATCTATATCTATATCTATCTATGTAGAGTCGGTGAAACTCCGACGAAACAGTTTGTCACAGCCCCTTGTTTGTTGTCCTCTTCTCCCTCTGTGCCTACGGTTGACCGGGCAGCTCTGTTTGACGATATATATAGCTCTGTTTGACGATGTAATTATAATATTCTGTTTGATGATATATTTATATTTCACGTGTGTCATTTTGTGTTTTTTTTGTTTCGTTTTCAGTTCTGGCGCGTCTTTTCCTTTTCATCACGCGGCTGTTGTTTCGTGCTCCTGCCTGCGGTCGTCTCACTTATTAAAAAGAAAAAAAAAATGAGCATAAACCGTAGGCAGAGAGGGAGAAGGCGTAGGTGTGAGAGAGTGCGTCACTCTCGCAAGTACGTCGTAGCGTATTAATCTCTGATAAGAGACGAACATTTCACGGTTTCACGGTAGGCGCGCCCCTTTGCACACTCCCCCGCCCTCGATCACCATCATCCACCGCTCGCCAAAACTTTGACCCAAATCCAGCGCGCAGCGCATCATGGACTTCCCCCCACGGGCAATGCTGCTTAAGGGATATGATGCTTTCGGGCCTGCCCTGGATGCCTCTCGGTTTAGGCAGCCGGGACAGGCCCCACCCTCCCCTATCAGCTCTTCTGCTGACCAGGGGAGGTGACAGAGTCCCTCATTACGGTACTTAGATTCTCTCTGATTGCCCTGCTCAGGAAGATCAGCTGTCTGGTTGCCCTGTTCAGGAAGATCAGCTGTCTGGTTGCCCTGTTCAGGAAGATCAGCTGCACAGTTAACCCCCCGGCTTACTGGGGCAGTCAATGCTGGCAGCCAAGACATGGACAAAAAAAAACAAGAAAAACCATTGGAATAAGGAACAGAAAAGCGGAAAGCGGGGGTGGGAGGTGGCGGGGGAGAGGACGTGAGGGAAAAACAGTTGGGCACAGGAACATCCTACGTGGGTACAGTCGGCCTTGTCCTGATGTTTGTCTCTTATTAGAAACTAATACGCAACGACGTACTTGCGAGAGTGACGCACTCTCTTACACCTACACCGCAATGTCCGCTCCGACTTGTCGTTTCCCATCCCACTACCTCCCCCACGCGCGAACGGCGTTGATGCGGATGAACATCTTGGAGGTGAACCATCCGATACGTGGGTGGCCTTTCTTTTTCTTTCGTTTTCATTTCTTGCGCACTGTTTCCTTTTTTTTTTTTTTTGCTTTCATTTCTCACGTGTCGTTTTGTGTGTGTTTTTGTTTTCTTTGTTTTTTCATTGCGCGGTTAAATGTTTCTCTTATCAGAGACTAATACGCTACAACGTACTTGCGAGAGTGACGCACTCTCTCACACCTACGCCGCAACGTCCTCTCTGACTTGTCGTTTCTCATCCCACTAACTCCCCCATGCGTGAACCAGTAACGTGCGGACTATTACGCGTGTTTCGTCCCGTCGGACTTCATCAGTGGCCAGACACGCACCGCAACTGTCACAGAAGGATGCTCTGATGAACAGTGAAGAGATAAGGACGGGTACTGTGTTTTTTCACCCACGGGAGCCGTACGGTTTACCAGGCAGCTCTGTTTGACGATATATAGGGTGCAATGATGTCTGCGCTGGTCAAAACCAGCAGAGCACAGGTGGCTGTCCAATCAGGACTTCTGTGAACAATACGGGTGATGGAAAACGGCGAGTACACGATGTATGGTCCCACGATGGAACTTAAAAGGACTTGCAGATCGACCTGGTGGAGTGGGCGTGGAGCCTCTGCTGCTGCCCCTATCGTGTGGACCGACGATTCAATCTCCTGCAGTACACCATGAGACTGGGCTACAGGCTGCGTCGCAAACTCGGTGCTCTGCGAGAGGTGCAAACCCACCACTGGGCTAAACACACTGATTTAAACTTCGCAGGCTTCCGAGATATCCCCTGGGCTGTGGCACTATCAATCAGGAACACACGCGTCAGAAGTATGCAGTGGCTAATTGCTTATCTAGCCCTTCCTGTCAACGGCTGGCTCTGCAAGCGCTGGAGCCCGCAGTACATATCCCCCTTTGATGACCTTTGTGCTGTATGTGACATGTGTGTGATTACTTGCCCTGGGGGACAAGGTGGCCGCTCTGTGCCTCGAAGTGGTGGGACGGCCCCTCCCTAACAACCCTCTCCAGACCCTCACCGGCTTCGCGGACACAACCGGTACAGAGAAATACCGAAACGCACTTTGCCGGAGGCTAAGACACCACTGGCGCTCTGTTTTACTGCAACACACTGGGAGGGGAAGAGCTCCTCCGTCTACTAGAGGTGGAGTACTGGGTCGACTGGGAGAGAACCATGAAGGACATTTCCCAGGCAACAGAGAAATACCGAAACACACTTTGCCGGAGGCTAAGACACCACTGGCGCTCTGGATAGTATGGAAAAGGAGATGCCAGGGGACTTTTTTTTTTTTTTTTTTAAGGAGCTGACTGTCAATCCTTCCAAGTTGAAGCAATCAATGCCGTTAGCATCAGGGAGGGCCAAGCAGTGGTGCATCCTTCCAGAAGGGAAGTGATCAATGCCGCTGTCTCAGGATCTATCGGCCAAAACGAAGAGAGGCATAAGTGGGGTTGCTCATGTAAAGGACGCTGGACCTGGTTTCCAGCTCTAATAAAAGTATTGTCATTTAAAAGAGAAAAGAAAAGAGATCGGCATGTTGAAAGAAGGGCCGAAAAAATCAATCAAGATTCAAGGCCGATCCTTTCAGTTCGCTGTTTTTTGTACTTTTTAATTCCCCCCTTTCCTTCCTTGCTTTGCTTTCCACTGTTCCCTGTAGAGTAGTTGCGCAATGGCTCTCCTGTTCTGTTTTGTCACCATCCACTACCTTTTTTTTTTTTTGGCCCCTGCCTTTTTAATTGGATACACCACCTCCTTCCTTGCATGATGAAAAAAAATGATACTAAACTAATAATGAATCATTCATGATAAAAAAAATATATAATGCTAAGCTACCTTTCGTGTATTGTCTGTAAAAGTCTGTGACTGCAGCGCTTCGGGGAGTTTCATGTGGAGTATATGTGTTTGATCAGTTTGTGCGGGTTTGTCTGATCGGATTTATCTTCTTTTTGCAGGATCTGAGGTCTTTGTTCTGGCCTAGCAGACGCAATCTGGCACACCGTTAGGATGGGGACACAACCTGCTGGATCAAGCGTCTTCCCGGCCCTTCTGCTGGAACACCTTAGAGGAACTCATTGGACTCGTTGTGTGTGCGGTTAGCATGGGGAAGGAGCCTGACGCATCCCTGCCGGAGAGGTGTCTGATCCAATCGCGTTGCTCACACAGCAGATTGGAGGAGCAGAAGCAGAAGGAAGCGGAGGAGGAGGAGAGTGAGGGGGGACGAGGAAGAGGAGGTGGGTGGTTTGTGTAGGACTATCCATTTGCCCTTCCTCGCGGCGGCTTGTCCAATCGATGGCCTCTCAGGGAAACAGTAAGAGGAGGCGGCGTTTGAGGTCTCAACAACAGCAATTGGATGGCGATCAAGCCACCGACTTGGCGGGGAGCAGGAACGAGGAACAGGATGACGTGTACTTCGACAGCTACTCGCACCTCAGCATTCACGAGGAGATGATCAAAGACCATGTTCGCACGGACGCATATTTGGCTGCCATAAGGAATTATGCGGACACAATCTGTGGCAAGGTTGTGATCGACGTTGGTTGCGGCACGGGGATTCTTTCCATCTTCTGCGCACAAGTGGGCGCACGCCACGTCTATGCGATCGACGCGAGCGAGATTGCTGTCCAGGCGAAGCGCATCGTCGAGGACAATGGGTTATCTGACAGAGTCACAGTCATTCACGGCCGAGTCGAGGAGGTGGAATTGCCAGAGAAGGCTGACATTATCGTGTCCGAGTGGATGGGGTACATGCTTTTCTATGAGAACATGTTGCGAAGTGTCATCGTTGCGAGGGACAGGTGGCTGAAGCCGGATGGACTGATGATGCCCTCGCATGCCACGCTGTACATTGCGCCGATCACGTATGAAGAGCGGTACGACGAGGCCGTGGAGTTTTGGAATAACGTGTACGGAATTGACATGTCATCGCTCATTCCTTTGGCTAAAAGGTGCGCTTTTGAAGAGCCCGTCGTTGAGCCGATCAGCGCCGAGAACGTGCTGACATGGCCTGCCATTGTGACCGAGATTGATTGTGCGACTATCACTGTCGCCGAGCTCGAGGCCGAGATCAAAGGGACCTTCAGCGTGTCGTCGATCATGAACGGCACTCTCAATGGCTTTGTTGTCTGGTTCGATGTCGTGTTCCGGAACGGAGAACCGGCACAGTGCGAGCGGAGACTTGCCACCAAAGATCTCGTGAAGGGTAGAAGCAATAGAGATGGTTGTGACGATGACACTGTCGGGAGGGGTGGTGAGGGGAAAGGTGCAGAAAGTGGGGGAGGAGTGGAATCAAGGAAACAAGAAAAGGATAAGCGCAAAAGGGAGCAGGAGGAGGAAGGTGATTCGCCAAGTCACGCGGGTGTGGTAGAGGTGGTCTCAGAAAGTGGCGCCGAGGGCAGCAATGGTACCTGGTCCAGGAATTGCATCAAAGGAGGATCAAATAAAGAGACGGAGAGAGCTAGGAGGAACGATAACGCTGATAACGTGCGGCTGTCGACGGCCCCTGAACAGGAATGTACACATTGGCAGCAAACGGCCTTATACATAGACCAGCCGCTACTGGTGCGGCAGGACCAGGTTGTCAACGGGGCCCTGGTATTGGGACTGAACAAGGACAACCCGCGGTTCCTGGACATTCACCTAGAATTCGAGACGGGCGGTGCATTGGTTACGAAGGATTTTGTTATGAGATGACACTCAGAAGGCGAGTTGTTCCTGCTCCTAGGCCTTCGATACGACCTCTTTGAGCGACTCTTGAAGGGGGGGCAGGGAGGGGGATCAGGGGGGGTAGGAGGGCGGATCAGGAGGGTAGCGAGCGGAGATCAAGAGGGGGGTTCTAGAGTAGAGGCTACAGAGATCTGCTGGTGGGAATGTGTGCATGGTGCGGTGTGGGAAAACCACATTACACGTGCAAGAAAGGAATGGTTGCTCCTTACCACCCACCGGTTGGATGTGTACGTGTTGAACAAGCACAATCAATACTGTGATGATAGGTTGTGAGCACGGTGCCCAGATTCTGTGCAGATTATGCACGGAGCGGCAGCTGAGGAGCGGATCAACCACTGATTTGTCTGGGGATTGTGTGCGGATCGGCTACCGGGGAGCGGATGAGACACTTTGTCGGCGATTGCTTGCGGATCGTGGGTGGATTGTGTGCAGATCAGCAGGGGTGTGCGCAGAGATTGTGCAGATCGTTGTGCTGAAGTGTTACCCATGTTCCCGTCGGGTTTCGTGTTTGGCTAACTTCAATTTTGTCGTTTAACATAGACTTTCATTTCTGCTGACCCTGGTTGGAAGGAAGCTCAATGATTGATCGATTGAAGTCAGTCAGGGCACATATATTTTAGAAGCTAGAACTTATCCTCGAATTGTTGCCAATGCAATAAAGGAAAATGTTGTAGAGTGGAATGTGCTGTACATAGTCCTCTTCAATTTTTCCTTTCACATATGCAATGGGAAGTTTGCTCTGGAGCCGTCGTCTTTCTTTTCTTTCATTCTTCTCTATCTATATATACTCTTATTAAGTGTAAACCGGGTCTCGCGTGACGACGCTCCCGCAAAGGCCCGGCTGCCAGTGTTTGGAAAACGTCGTTCCATGTTGGGCCCGCGGCGTTCTGTGGGCCGCACTGGCTGGCGGGGTCGCAAATATCCAGGCGCACGTTCGGATACAAGTACATAGCTGCAGACTCTGAGTTGTTCTCCTTTTTTTCTTTTTTCCCCATCTTCTGGCGCCAGGGGCAACAATACCATGGACGAGGGAGAAGAAGAGGGGGGGGAGGGGACAGGATGGCAATGAAGATGAAAGCGACAGGATGGAGAATGCAGACGGACGAAGGGGAGCGACAGATGGGAGGGAGGAAGACGACCACGATGGGAAGTGCTCACCGTCTTACCAGAAGATTGAACCGTTCCCTCTCAACTCCGAACCCGACGTTGATGGAAGTGTCCGGCTGCTCTCTCTCTCTCTCTCTCTCTCTCTCTCTCTCTCTCTCTCTCTCTCTCTCTCTCTCTCTCTCTCTCTCTCTCTCTGTTCCGCCCCAATCAATAAATGCTGCCTACAGTTCTGATCATATGACCTGATAAAAACGGACTCTGAGTTCTGTTTCCCCCCCCCTTTTTCCAAAAGACGAACTGTGGATCGCTGTTCGATTATTCGTTTTTTTTTCATGGGAACATTCTCGCTCCGAGTCGCTCATGAATATTCTATCTATCAAAGACTTTTCTTTCATGCGATGCTTTGTTTTTTTTTTTGGCTCTACAGGTTTGAGGAAGGGAAGAATCGTCCACCATCTTGGCTGTGGGAAATCTGACGACACGGAAGGAGTAGGAAGAGTGAAACAAAGAGAGAGAGAGAGAGAGAGAGAGAGAGAGAGAGAGAGAGAGAGAGAGAGAGAGAGAGAGAGAGAGAGAGAGAGAGAGAGAATCATTGATTCCCCGTATCGACTGCATGTTGGGGAGCGGTCACACGTCTACACCAATTGGTGCCTCAATGTTGGCAGGCGCTACAGTTTTTTTCATTCTCTCCTTGGTGACTGCTGGTGATGATCTTCAATGGTTTCCACATTTGGAATGATGTTTCTTTTTTCCCCTGCATTTCCGTACACAAAACTGTATTGTCTTCAGGGTTTGCTCTACAAATTGGTGAAATTGCTGTTTTGTTCGTACACTACGCTCCCTGTTGGATGCCTGCTATCCGTGGTGGGCTCTTCTCCATCATGATTGTCTGCATTTCCTCTCTACACCTCGTGCTCCCTGCGTCGCGGCAGGTCGACTTGTTCTTTCTTCTACTTTCTTTTTTTGTTCTTTTTTTTGTTTTGCCATCTTCTTTCCTCTACTTTGCAGTCCTATTTTTCTAAACGGTGTTAATTTGTTGAAGCATTTGTCTGTTGTCAATTTATGTCCCTTCGTTTTAGCGAAGAGGCAGATGGTGCTAATTTTGTCTGTACACTGGTTCCAGTTTCACAGATGTTGTGCAGGATTGCCAGGAAGTGCTCTGCAGCAGAATATAACTCTATTTCGTACCTACAGTCCGAAAGAACCACATGGTTCTGATCTCATCTGCTTTTGATTGATACGTGCCGGCCATTTTTGTCATTCGTTCAACTGAGAGGTGGCTGTTTTTGTCATTTGCCCAAAATTTGTGTGGGCTGATTGCTCCTTTCTCAGTCACTGGCTTAGGATGTCATACAATTGCACCACAACTCCCTCTGATCATTTTGTCATTATTTTGTGCCCATGATATGGTCTTCGGGATTCAAATACCAGTGTCATTTACTTGACCCCTTTCCGTCTTCCACCCGCTTCTTGCGTCCCGCCTTCCCCCTTTCCCCCTTTGTTCCTCCCTCCCTGTTCCTTCCCCCTTCCCC